CCCCCCAAAAAAAAAAAGAAACCTGAGATGGTGTTTTTCTCCTTCAAAGATATAGGGGTTAGGGCATAGTTTTCATAGTTTGTATATATTTATGTAACCAAAACCAGTAACAGTAATAAAAGTTCTTTAAACACACCCAACCAGTGATATCAAATTAATACTGAGCCTAGAGTCTGAATACACTAAGGATCATAAGTTTCTCAACAACAAATAAAACTACTTATTACACAGATGCCCAAAAGGGTTTATATTTTTATCCTCAGCATTTCCAGCTGACTATAAAACATAGCCTCCAACAGTATCAAAATAGTTTTAAATGTGACTCCTCATGAACCATTTCAGAAAATTAGTTATTAAATCTTTATTTGGAAATTTCTTTTTAAATAAAAGTCAAAAACAAGCTGGATTTGCTGCTGCTATTTTTTTTTTAACTATTATAAAATCATCCAAGTAAATTCTTATTTAGAAATAAAGTAAGTGGGCTGAGAGGTAGAGCCTGAAGGTTATAAGTGCCACCACTAATAACAAGAGCATTAATGAAAGCCTCTCTCAATTTCCAAGTACTGTTCCTAAATTATAGGGTCAGTACACTACAGATAAAAAAGCATGCATATCACTAGTATGTATGAAAGGTGAGGCTAAAAACTTGAGAGTAAATATGAAACTGTGACAGCACCACGACATGCTACACAATTAGTGCCCAGTGCTGTCCTCCTTCCTCCCCTGGCATAGCACAGATGGGTGATTTTATATGCCTGGGTAACAGGCTTTTTGCTGGAGACCAGCAAGTCTCCTGCAATTATGTATGAAAATTTATATATCCAAGCACTTTTCTGAGGCAGACTTTCAAAGGAGTCCATGATCCCCCCAAAATTAAAAATCACTGATATAGATACTCAGGTTAAGTGGTGAGCACATAATATTTATGAGAAACGTCTCAAGATTAATGATTGAAATGACCATATAGAGAAGTGTTTAGAGTAGAAGCAAATTACAGAAAGGAGAATGAGTCACTAAGGCAGAGGGACAACACTCAATGAATACAAAGGCAAACCTGAAATGAATGTTAAATTATTTTTAAGTATTATTAAAATTAGTTTTATTTTGTTCAAATTTAAGAATGGCTAATATAAGTGGCAGAGAAAAAATATCACATACTATTAAAATGAGTACTTTCTGGGGTTGTCTTGTGAACAAAGACACAAAATATTCTTGTACTTTGAACAAAGAAACTAAATTTACATGTCCTTCAAATAATGAGAGAAGAATCTTAATAATTTTATTGTTGACATTTGAATTACTTTAGAGGCCAACCTTAATAACCAAGTTTTTTTGTTGTTAATCCTCACCGGAAGATTTTTTCTCCATTGTTTTTTAGCAGGGAGGGGGAGGCAGAGAGAGATCGATGTGAAAGAGACACATGGGTTGGTTACCTCCCCCATGCATCCTGAGCGGGGCCAGGGATGAAGCCTGCAACCTAGGTATGTGCCCTTGACTGGGAATCGAACCGAGACCCTTTGGTGCTTGGGCCAACACTCTACCACTAAGCCACATTGGCCAGGGCCCAAGAAGCTTCTGTGCAGCATCTATTAAAAACAACTCTTGCCCTGGCCGGTGTGGCTTGGTTGGAGTGTCAGCCCGTGCACTGGAAGGTTATAGGTTCAGTTTCGGTCAGGGCACATACGTAGGTTGCGGTGCATACAGGTATGGAAGGCAACTGATTGATGTATCTCATATCAATGTGTTCTTTTTCTCTTTCTCTTCCTCCCTCTCTAAAATAAAACAAACAAAAAAAACCTCTTATACTTACCACTCCACCTACACACCGATCTCTATTTCTTTTCATTATGTCTGTGAATTAAAAACAGAGAACTTTTAGCAAGTAGCTGGATTTCTGCAAACCTTAAATTCTAAGTATTTTAGCTTTGACTCACCCAAAAATTCAGCATGTGAGTTTCGACAGTGAAGAAACATTGGTAATTTTGTCTGTTCTGCCAGTTCAAACTGTTTTTCAAAATATCTGCATAATGCAAAAGATTTTGTTAAAAATTTTACTTTAGCATGAGAAAAATAATTGTCAAATGATCTTTCTTAGTTAAAGGAATTTCCCTAGAAATTATAGGGTGAAAATAGTAAGTTCAGACATTTAAAATATGTCAGGCTTAGCCAAAGGCTTTTACAACACACATATTCTGGAAAGGGATACTTCATTTTCTGGGATTACAAAATTATTTTCAGAAATTGTTATAACTACTGGGTAAATTAGATAGCGCTTTACTATTGATGGCCAGAAGTAAAGAACTATAGAGTTTAGCTTTAAAGGTATGGGGAATGTTCCTCCAAATAGGTACTTTTAACTAGCTTTCCAACCAAATCTCAGCAAGTGAAGCAGACACCCTCCTATAACCTGTGGGATCCCTTCCCTGCAGAATGTTTGGTGGTGGAAAACACACAGCCAGCCCTCTTCTGAGAGCTGGCTGAGCACCATCAGCAGGAGTCCACACACTCCAGTGAGAAGCCAGGCAGAGCTTTACTTATGTTCTGTTTTCTGTGTACTGTTGTATAAGAAATTACTGCCACTGAACAAAAAGGACTCCCTTAAAAACTAAATACAAGGACCTGTTAAAAAGCACAATTTCTGAAATACTCCATTTTTCAGAAAAATGAAAATTACATGGCAAAATAGCAGCCCTGGATATTTTAGAGTACTTTTATAAAAAGGTTTTTTAAGTGCCATGTACCATCATCTCATTTGATCCTCAAAATAACCCTAGCACAGCACGAGACTTGGTGTCAGAGGTGGGTAGGACCTTGTCCAAGATCACAACACACAACACAGCAAACCTGGAACCACAACTCCAGTTCTCCAATTCCAAGTCCCAGCCAAAACAACGAAAAGTTGTGACATTTCAAGAAGCTTCTTCCTGGTCCCACAGTATGATAATATCCAGAGGATATAATGCGGTAGGGCAGGGAGGGGCATCTGGTGTTTTCTTTTTCCATTTTAGCACAGTGCACCCTCTCGTTCCCCTTAATGGTCAAGTAGTTTTAAGTGAAATCAGGAGTTACAGACAATATCTTACTATTTCCTAAGGGGTTTATCTCTTTAGGCCCCTTGATCTTGGGGAACAATTTCTCTGTTTAAATATCTTTGGTGATACTTTCCTATATCTTGTCTTGTGAAGTGCAGAACAACTATTTTCTGGAATACCTCTCTGTATCCTCGAAAATGCTAAGTTTCAAAATTAGAAACAGAAATATACTTTTTAAGGACATAGTCTTCCTAAAACCGGTGGTCTATGTCTTTATGACCCAATGTTTAGGTTTTTAAACCACCTTTTCAAATTCTGCTGGGTTAGAATAAGCAAAAGTATTTTTAAAGTGCGGAAATGTCATAGTGTAGAAAAACAAGGGAAAACTTGGGGGAAAAAGATTTAAATCATTATGACTGGTCACTATTTCCATAACCTCTACAGGAATTTAGATGTCAACAATTAAGTGTGCTCCAGTCATTATGTGAACTTTATTATGTGTTTGGCTTCTGGCTACACAGCAGGCAGTACTCTCCACTTTTTCTTCTTTCTAAACTGAAAATATTTTTCAACACAATTCTCTGCACTAAGCCACATGATCAAGCTGGAGATTTACGGAATCTAATGATCAGCTTTGAAATTGGCCTTCCTATCACAGATCAGGCAAAAGCAATTTTCCAACCTATGCTAATTATTTATGTCCCCTTTTTAAAAATTCATAAATAAAATGTAACTTTCCAAACAAATCCATTCAATGACCATGATCACATCAGATTTTATTCTAATTTATTTAAAAATGCTTATAAAAATCAAATATCAAGAGTCTTCAACACAGTTGATTCCATTTTATTAAGGAAAAACAGAGCAGTTCTTAAATTTTCTCTTCATAGCATATATCGTATGAAGTTTTGCCTCCAAAACAATGTTTCCGTGTGGTTGTGATGTGTCTAGTGGTGCTATTAGGGTCAGAAGCACCAAAGACATGAGAAANCAAAACAATGTTTCCGTGTAGTTGTGATGTGTCTAGTGGTGCTATTAGGGTCAGAAGCACCAAAGACATGAGAAATTTAACCACTGAAGGGTCATTTTCATAAAAACTAAAAATTTCCTTACAGGTCTAGAGTAAAGTCTCCTGCTGGACATTTTAGTGCTATCAAGTTACTTTAAATTAAATGTGGAATAAAAGCTACCAAAAGCTGAGTTCAGTACAAAAAGTTGTGTAGCTGAAGTGGTGGGCTCCTCAGGCATACATAAGCAAACCAATAAAATAGCTGCTCAAGTAAGAAAATAGAATTTGTCTGATTACACTTAGCACATGCTCCACTTGGGTGTCCTGCTCATCCCTGCCAGAGCTCCTGAAGAACAGTAGAACCGATATTTCTTTCCTTCAAAGAGCATCTGTAATTCACAGCACAAAATAGTTCTAACGTCTTACTCTCCACTCTATCATACTAGGGGCACTCGGAAACCATTTACTGAATGGAGTTCAAACTCTCTACTATAGATTAACATCTGGACAACTGGCATGTGCGTTAAAGCATAAATTATAACCTGCTATACATATTGTATTACGTTCTGATCTTAAGATGATGAAGTACCCTCAGAGCAGTAAAATAAAACTGATTTCATTTCATACAAAATTATTTCATTTAATAGAAATGTTTCATTTAATTAAAAAAAAATCAGTTTAAAGTTACTTATGTTGCATTTTGGAATCAGTTTTAACTCATCTGTATGAAAAGCCACATGGGCAAGAAATCTTGGGGGATTTCACACCACAGTCCTTGCCTCACGAGGCTCATCTTACCTGAAAACAGACACTAAAGTGGAGGAATTATGATCTGTGGGCTTAACCTAAGAAACTACTACAGACAACTTTTTTTCTATTTGAATGTGACTATGTGAACTTTTAAGATTAAGTGAGCTGACCTACAGGATATTCAAGAGAGATAAAGGGATTTAGTGATCCTACCTGTAATCACATGAACATCCTTGAAAAACAGCAAATGTGTCACTAGCTAATCAGCTCTGACAGGGTAATAAAGATGAGAGGACTGTCCAGCTGGCATGGCTCAGCGGTTGAGCATCGACCTAGGATCCAGGAGATCGTGGTTCGATTCCGTCAGAGCATCGACAGAATCGATGTTATGATTCGATCCCCAGTAAGGGGTGTGCAGGAGGCAACCGATCAATAACTCTCTCATTGTTGATGTTTCTCTCTCTCTCTCTCTCCATCTCCCTTCCTCTCTCTGAAGTCAATAAAGACATTTAAAAAACAAAATGAGAGGACTGAAAGACTTCAAAGTGAACATTACTCTAACCCATCCTATGTCACTTGGTTATGGACCTTCACACTCCAGGAATTCTGGAGCTTCAAGTTTAGGGTGTGACAGGCTTGCTAGTCAATCTGCTTCTCACTACAGGCATTTTCAACTGGGCTGGACATATGGGGCTGTCTGTGGAGGGGCAGGGAAGGGAGGTGGCGAAAGCACATTTTTGGTATGTATAATTTGAAAAATCTCTTCAAGCCATAATGTCACTGGCTTAATGATTATCATATGACAAAATGGGTAATTATTAAATATTATGACAGAGTTAGATGGTATCTTAAGAATTGACCCAGATTCCTTGTTCATGTATAAAAAACTAAGCAGACAGAAGGTCGTTTATTCTTAAAAGGCCCTATGGACAGATATTATACCTTATTCATATTTTTAACTACTGAGTTCCTAGCAGTTTCTGACACATATGACTATAAATATTTGCTGAATGGTTGAATAACTAAATTAACCTCCTTTAGAAGCTCATTCTAACGTTTTATCATCTTGATATTGTTTTTGAAATTCAACAAAATGAACGTCTTCAGTTAAGCCTGTGACCTAATTTTTCTTTTCAGCCTATACTACTACTCACCAGTATGACAGAGCTCCAACTAAAAGCTATAGGCAATAGGGTGTAGGAAGTCCCCAAGGCTTATAAGCTTTGTTGTTTTCTAAGAAGCCACCACTCTCAACATGGCGCTTAAGAAAGGATTCTCCTGCTCCAATGTGCACTATCCAATGCCTAGCAAGAGTAAAGTAAGTGTTTCTAGCTTTTAGTGATCAATCCTCTCTTTCTTTGATACCCTTTCCTCTTAAATCATATTGCCACAAATGAATCCGATTCCTTTCACTGGAATAATTCATGTACAAATGCATTAAGCTAATAAAAAGCAACACAAGTCTCTACTATATAAAACTCATCACTTATTTCTACCATTAAAATCAAATTAGATGGTTAAACAAACAGGGAACTCTATCCTTCCATTCTTTAGGAATTCTATGCAAGTATGCAGGGAATTTGTTTCACTTAACTTCTGATATGCAATGGAAAAAAACAAAGTCCTGATGTTTAATCCAGCTACATATTCAGAATGATAAAAGCTATTTTTTAAAAACCCACTCTTAAGATTTTACAATAATTTCTAAAGTCAACAAATTTCCTTACTTGAGCTGAGTATCTTTGGGACAAAACTGTAGTCGGTCAAAATCTTCAAAAGACAAAAAAGAATAAATTACTCATGATTTGTATGGAACAAATCAATTATTTTCAAGGTCATGCATAGGGTAGGGTTGGCACTTACCGAGTCCACATTCCCCTATTGCCACAACTTTCCCCTTGTTGTTTTCAGCAAGATTTAGCAACTCCATTAAGTAAATATCGGGGTTATTCTTTTCAAATTCATCACATCTTGTAGGATGACATCCAACTGTACTGAAAAACATATCTAGCACAAAATAATGTCCTAGGATTATTTTCAAAATATTTTTCACATTTATATTAATATGCATAAATGAGAATATAAATTAATTTTTTTTTAATCCTCACCCGAGGATTTTTTTTCCTTTGCATTTCAGAGAGAGGAAAGGACAGAGAGAGAGTAACATCGATGTGAGAGAGACACATTGCCTCATGCAAGCGCCCCTACCGGAGCTGGGGATCGAGCCTGCAAATGAAGTACGTGCCCCTGAAACCCGTCAGAACGAGGACCAATGCTCTAACCACTGAGCAAAACTGGCTAGGGCATAAATTAATTTCAGCCAGTTAATTTTTAACAATAGCCATAAATTATTCAAACTACCAGAACTATATTAGGTTAATCATCTAAAACTTTTTGTAATACTTTAACACTGTAGGGCATGAAGATGAAAATTGCCTTAACATATTGGTAAAAATAATTAATGCAACTCTTTTCCAAAGCTTGGTATTTACTAAGCCTTGTAGAATGGAAAATGAAACAATTTCTTGTAGAATTAAGTGTCAATAACTAATTTTATTCTTTATAGCCACTGTTCATGTGGCTGTGTTATTTCATGTATTTAACAGTTAAAATGTATATTCCTTCCCCTTAATAAGGGTGACTTAAAGAGGTGGAAGGGGGAATTTGTTTTTCTAATAAAAAATAAAGCTCCTTTATTTGCAGGCAATACTTTTTGATAGTTTAAATTGTATAGAACACAAATGTGAAGTCAAAAGGGCTTTTGAGTGGCTTAAAGTGATACTTGCATCTGAATCCATGGGGAAGGTATGGAGCCTTCCTCTGGCTCTGATGTAGATGTTTACATATGAAGGGAGGCAGAGCTTTTAAAGCAGTGAGGACACAGGTACACAGAGAGGAGTGGAAGAGGGCTGACATCAGAGATCCGAGAACTTTTAAAAACTTATCTGTCTGGGGATAAGAAGTATGGAAGACAATATTCTTCTACACCTAAAAGCTCTGGAAGGACGATTTTTATGACCTTAATCACTATGAAAAAGTAGCAGTGGATCCTGAAGACTTCCATAAACATAGCTTTTAATAAGTCAGTATTTTGAAAAATAATGTGGAATGCCTAATTTTTCAGTGTCCAGCAGATAAAGCATGCCCTCACCCCCCAAAAAAGGTTACTAAGTAAATGAATGCCAGATAAAGGAAATATTTTATATAATTAGGATTCCTTTAGGAACCAATTCCAAAACTTCATAGATTTTAAATAATTGCAGAATGTAGGAACATTAAGTAAGCATATGAGGGAATATGTAGAATATTATTGCTTGCATTCCTGGGACATTGCACAGTGTCTCATCTGCAAATATTTAATAAATGATTTTTCACAGCTTTGGTTAAAAAAGAGCAAATAACAAGCAATTCATATCTTAAATACATTACCACATATACACAAAAATTCTACATGAGGAATATGTGAGGATAAATTCTATACCTGGTGACCTTAATTCTCATTAACTGAAATCTTAATCCTTATTAAGTACAATCTTTGTTTACCTCTGCTATACCAATGAGCACTTTGAATTTTTTCATCTTAATCATGTCCCACTGAAATTAGTCTATTTTTCTGTTGTTTCTACAGTCACGATCCATTGTATTATACCTGAAGCAGTTCTCAGAAAGATTTCTTCAAAATAACTTAATTCATATTTGTTTTTGGTAAAAGTAATATGAGGATACCATTTGTTTGTGCCAAATGCAGTGCATCTTTACTGTCTTGTAGATTTCCACCTGTAATCATAAACTGAAATAGAAGAAATAAAATAAGCCCACTTTAACAAGATTATCAGCAACAGTTCCACAAATATGCCTTCCTGCTACTGCTTTTTTCCAAAATGCTTTTCTCTTAGACTGTCACACACCTACCGTTCCTTTAAAATTCAACTGAAGGATCATCTCCTATGTAGAGTGGTCCCTCTCTACCCCTCTCCACATGCACATGCAGACACATAATACACAGAATTCATCACCCCCACCTATTGACATGCAGTCACATGTCTGTCTTTCCTATTAGGCCATGAGTTCCTTGAAGGCAAAAATCAGGTTGTGAAACACTGCAAAAGACTGAATAAATAACTAAAGACCTCTGATTTTAGAATTCTGTTCAATTAACTCAATGATTCCGTAGTGCTGATTATTCAACAGTTCTCCCAAGTTATCATCTCAGAACCCTAGGGGACATATGAGGTCAAACCATCTTCATAGTAATACTATGATGCTCTATGCCTTTTCCACTCTCATTCTGTCACCAGTGTGCAATGAGGTATTCCAGAGGCTACATAATGTATAATAATGACAGATTGCAGAAACACATATGAAAGTTCAGCAGTCTTCTATTAAGCCAGACATGAAAGAGATGTAACAAAATGTAGAACAATTCCACTCATGCCACTAAATATTTTTGGTTTTGAAAATATATTTTTATAAAAATACGTTATTTGTTATACATTGGTATTTTTAAATGAATAAATAGATATTTAAAATTTTTCTCAGTTTTAATTTCTAATACAGTCTATAGCAACAGATAAACAAACCCACATAAACAAAAGCTCTTTGGGGTCCTTAATATTAGAAAATATAAAGGGGCTCTGACACCAAAAGTTTAAGAATCACTGGGTTGGTGTGTATTAATGAATTCTTTGTAGGGAAATTTATGGCTCTTGGCAAAGAAGCATACTTTTACAGAGACAGCCAATAGAAGCATTTAGAACACCATATTTGCTAATTTGTTAAAATGCTACACTAAAAAAGCTTTGTGTTAATGGTGACTACTGAGGCAGTGCTGCTTAACTGACATTCTTCTAAAGAAATCATTTAGCCCTGCCGGGCATGGCTCAGTGGTTGAGCAGCGATCTGGGATCCAGGAGATCGCAGTTCGATTCCCAGTCAGGGCACATGCCTGGGTGGTGGGCTCGATTCCCAGTTGGGGGCATGCAGGAGGCAGCCAATCAATGACAACTCTCTCATAATCGATGTTTCTATCTCTCTCTCTCTCCTTCTCCCTTCCTCTCGCTGAAATCAAGATATATTAAAAAAAAATCATTTAAGTACAAAGATGCATTATTTTTAAAAGCACACTTCAAGAGTCTCACTGAGCTTAAATGAAGAATTCACTCTAGGTACACAGCTAAAGAGAAAATACACAAAATATCGGAGGAAGTACAAATGATAAACAGACATTTTCACATAGCAACTTAAACTAATATTACAGATATATGAATGCATAGCCATAATTAAATCCTCAACTGCCTATGAAACATAGGATATAAGGTATTTAAAAAGTATTGGTACAACAACAGGCATATAGATCAGTGGAACAGAACAGAAACCCCAGAAATAGACCCCCGCCATTATGGTCAGTTAATATTTGACAAAGGAGGCAAGAGTATCCAATGGAGTAAAGACAGTCTCTTCAATAAGTGGTGCTGGGAAAACTGGACAGATACATGCAAAAAAATGAAACTAGACCACCAACTTTCACCACACACAAAAATAAACTCAAAATGGATAAAAGACTTAAATGTAAGTCACGAAACCATAAAAATCCTGGAAGAAAACACAGGCAGTAAAGTCACAGACATCCCACATAGTGGAATTTTCACTCCTAGGGCAAGAGAAACAAAAGAAAAAAAAACATATGGGACTACATCAAACTAAAAAGCTTCCGCACAGCAAAAGAAAACAGCCTCAAAATACAAAGGAACCCCACGGTCTGGGAAAACATATTTGCCAAGGATGTATCTGATAAGGGGCTAATTTCCAAAGTGTACAAAGAACTCATACTACTCAGCAAGAGGAAGACAAACAACCCAATTAAGAAATGGGCAAAGGACCTGAATAGACACTTCTCCAAAGAGGACATAC